ACCTTAAGGTGCTCCTTGTTTGCGATTCTCGATGCGAGATTCGCGCCATTCCTCCCCACTTGCCATCCCCCTTCCCCTCCATCCTTCCATGGACCCTAATCCCCTCCTACACCCTCCAGTGGGCGGGCATCAGACGACATGCTGATAGCCAAGCTTGAGACGGTTTACACCGACTCAGGAGATAATGCCTCCTCACAGGTACGCCTCCTCACAGGTACGCCTCCTCACAGGTACGCCTGTATGCCGATCAGCAGCTACAGGGGCCCCTGCTTCTCGTCCCCAGCCCGCTTCCCTCCCCACCCCTGCCTCGCCCATTCAGCTGGTAGTGGGTTGACGCACGCCATGTCCCTTGCCCACCTGCATTATCCCTCCTCCCTTGTCCTGTCTCCCCCCAGGCCCCTTTGCTTACCTGTCCTCCTCAACACTTCAACTCCCCATCCCATATCTCTGCACATTCTCCCCACCCATTCTCCTCCGTCAACCCATCACTCCCCCCCACACCCGCTCTCGCGCTTCCTTTGAGCCTCCCTCCGCCCTCCCCCCACTAAGGTGGCACCTGGTGACAGCACAGAGCAAGCCATCTCCATCGCCCGCTGACCTACACTCGCTCTCCACTCTCAAACCCCCCAGAACTCCCGTTCTTTAACCTCAACCTTCACCCACCCCCTCTGGGACGGCAGCTTGTGTTGAGCAGGGAGCAGGCCACCCCATCATCGTCCACTTGCCAATACCCGATCTCAACCCATAAATCCCCCCATCCCTTGCCTCCTCAACCCCTCTCCCCCCGTTCCCCAGCTCTTGCTGAGCACGGAGCAGCCCATCCTCATCGCCAGCTTGCCTATACCCCCCTATCTCCCCCTCCTCCACCCCCCTGTTCCCCCATCCCGCCCCCCCTCACAGCTTGTGCTGAGCACGGAGCAGCCCATCCCCACTGCCCACTTGCCCGCAACCACTCTCCGCTGCCCCCTCCCGTCCCTTCTCTCCCATCCCTTATCTCCCGTCCCTTGTCTCCTGTCCCTTGTCTCCTGTCCCTTGTCTCCTGTCCCTTGTCTCCTGTCCCTTGTCTCCTGTCCCTTGTCTCCTGTCCCTTGTCTCCTGTCCCTTGTCTCCTGTCCCTTGTCTCCTGTCCCTTGTCTCCTGTCCCTTATCTCCGTCCCTTGTCTCCTGTCCCTTGTCTCCTGTCCCTTGTCTCCTGTCCCTTGTCTCCTGTCCCTTGTCTCCTGTCCCTTGTCTCCTGTCCCTTGTCTCCTGTCCCTTGTCTCCTGTCCCTTGTCTCCTGTCCCTTGTCTCCTGTCCCTTGTCTCCTGTCCCTTGTCTCCTGTCCCTTGTCTCCTGTCCCTTGTCTCCTGTCCCTTATCTCCCGTCCCTTGTCTCCTGTCCCTTGTCTCCTGTCCCTTGTCTCCTGTCCCTTGTCTCCTGTCCCTTGTCTCCTGTCCCTTGTCTCCTGTCCCTTGTCTCCTGTCCCTTGTCTCCTGTCCCTTGTCTCCTGTCCCTTATCTACCCCTCACAGCTCGTGCTGAGCACGGAGCAGGCCATCCCCATCGCCCACTTGCCTTTACCCATCCTTTCTCCCCCCCCCCCCCCCCACCCTCTTCCCCCCTCTCTTCTTCCCCTTTACCCAGCTCGTGCTGAGCACGGAGCAGGCCATCCCCATCGCGCCCGACTGGCTCTTCTTCAACCGCATCAACGCCCGCGCGCGTAACGGCTTCCGCATCGCCCATGCTCGCCTCATCGGCAGGTGGGTTGCGAGATGGGGCATTGGCAGGGGGGGTTGCTGGGCAGGGGGCATGCGTGCTCGTTGCCAGGCAGAGCTGTTTGGGGTGAATGGGTGCATTCACTTGCATGGCCGTGGATTCAAGATGGGACTCTCCATACCGTACTAGCCCGACTGCTTTCACGCTTCCACTTCCGTCCCTCTCTCTACCCGCCATCCACCTCTCCACTGTTCTCGCCCCTCCCTTTCCCCTCACCCCTCCTGCGCCATCAGCTTCTCAGGCGGCACGGTGGTGGGCGACCTGGCGCCACACGAGGCGTTCCCCATCGGCGGCACCAACAGCGTGCGCGGATATGACGAGGGCGCTGTGGGGTCGGGGCGATCCTACATCGTCACCAGCGGGGAGATCTCCTTCCCCATGGTAACTGCATGCTCTTCCCCCTCGTCCTCCTGTCTCCTTCCCCATGGTAACCGCATTCTCTTCCCCCTCGTCCTCCTGTCTCCTTCCCCATGGTAACCGCATGCTCTTCCCCCTCGTCCTCCTGTCTCCTTCCCCATTGTAACCGCATGCTCTTCCCCCTCGTCCTCCTGTCTCCTTCCCCATGGTAACCGCATGCTCTTCCCCCTCGTCCTCCTGTCTCCTTCCCCATGGTAACTGCATGCTCTTCCCCCTCGTCCTCCTGTCTCCTTCCCCATGGTAACCGCATGCTCTTCCCCCTCGTCCTCCTGTCTCCTTCCCCATGGTAACCGCATGCTCTTCCCCCTCGTCCTCCTGTCTCCTTCCCCATTGTAACCGCATGCTCTTCCCCCTCGTCCTCCTGTCTCCTTCCCCATGGTAACCGCATGCTCTTCCCCCTCGTCCTCCTGTCTCCTTCCCCATGGTAACTGCATGCTCTTCCCCCTCGTCCTCCTGTCTCCTTCCCCATGGTAACCGCATGCTCTTCCCCCTCGTCCTCCTGTCTCCTTCCCCATGGTAACCGCATGCTCTTCCCCCTCGTCCTCCTGTCTCCTTCCCCATGGTAACCGCATGCTCTTCCCCCTCGTCCTCCTGTCTCCTTCCCCATGGTAACCGCATGCTCTTCCCCCTCGTCCTCCTGTCTCCTTCCCCATGGTAACTGCATGCTCTTCCCCCTCGTCCTCCTGTCTCCTTCCCCATGGTAACCGCATGCTCTTCCCCCTCGTCCTCCTGTCTCCTTCCCCATGGTAACCGCATGCTCTTCCCCCTCGTCCTCCTGTCTCCTTCCCCATGGTAACCGCATGCTCTTCCCCCTCGTCCTCCTGTCTCCTTCCCCATGGTAACTGCATGCTCTTCCCCCTCGTCCTCCTGTCTCCTTCCCCATGGTAACTGCATGCTCTTCCCCCTCGTCCTCCTGTCTCCTTCCCCATGGTAACCGCATGCTCTTCCCCCTCGTCCTCCTGTCTCCTTCCCCATGGTAACTGCATGCTCTTCCCCCTCGTCCTCCTGTCTCCTTCCCCATGGTAACCGCATGCTCTTCCCCCTCGTCCTCCTGTCTCCTTCCCCATGGTAACCGCATGCTCTTCCCCCTCGTCCTCCTGTCTCCTTCCCCATGGTAACCGCATGCTCTTCCCCCTCGTCCTCCTGTCTCCTTCCCCATGGTAACTGCATGCTCTTCCCCCTCGTCCTCCTGTCTCCTTCCCCATGGTAACCGCATGCTCTTCCCCCTCGTCCTCCTGTCTCCTTCCCCATGGTAACCGCATGCTCTTCCCCCTCGTCCTCCTGTCTCCTCCCCCATGGTAACCCCCTCCTCTTCCCCTCGCATCGCGTCTTGTACACCCAACCCACGTATCACACATGTATGTGAAGATAAGAGACCACGCAAGCCTGGTGCTTCGTTTCCTATCTCTGACTCTGCTTTCCACTCCCTCTCTACCCAAACACACCCCCCCCACACACACCCCCCCCACACCCCCCCCCTGTTTGTTTTCTTCCTTGTCTGCTTACTGTGATGCTATTCGAGTCACTCCAGCGCACCCCTACTCTCACTCACCCACCCAGCATAATCGAACTTTTCGCTTGACCTCATCTTCTCTCGTTTCCCGCTGCACATGGAGCCGCCATGCACAATGCTGGCCATGCCTTTCTTACCGGCCCACTGCTCGCTCCCATCACCCTCCCACTCCCCCCCCTTCCCTCCACGCCACCTGCAGTTTGGCCCACTAGAGGGTGCCTTCTTTGCCGACTATGGCACCGACCTAGGCTCGGGTGCCACTGTGCTAGGTACGGCGATGGTACTGCAGGTGAGAGAATGCCGGGGGGTCAAGCTGGTTAGTTGTAAGCACTTGTAGTGAGACAATAATCTTCCAGGTGTTGCCACGCATATCTTCTTAGATTGCCCCTGATGCAAAGCAAATTCACCGTTTGTACCCTTCTCTCCTCTGCATACTTCATGGTTTCCCCTTTCCCTCGTTACCGTATCCCCCCGGATATACCCCCATGGGGGGCAATAATAAAACAGGTTTTTTCATGGGGGTGGGCTTATAATCGAGTAAATTTATAAGCGCCGGCGTTTATAAAATGACATACATATTTTTTTATATCTTTTAACACCAAACTGTAGGTCTCGTGCTTGCCTTTTCAATCGAGTCGAAGTTACATGGGATCGTCTGTGAAATTCTCGCGCGCGCTGGGAGATACACCCAATCTGACTCACATCCAGCTCCTGACAGGTCCTGCTGACTGGACCCGCATCCAGTGCAGGGTCCGAATGAGAAGGGAACCGATTCTGCAACATATCCGCCTGCTAAAGTAAAAATCGTTACAGCTTTTTGAACACATTTCAAATTTTAAAGTTTACGTGCGCTTATAATAAAACAAGTTTTTTCAAGGGGTGCGCTTATAATCGAGGAGGGGATATAAGCGCCATATGCCAATTAGAAGCGCCAGGCGCTTATCCTAGGGTGGCGCTTATATCCGGGGGGAGACGGTATGTGTCATGCATATTACCATCATACAAACCCCTCTCCCGTCCCCATGCGACCCCAACAGGGACATGTGGCAAGCCTGGGCTTTGGGCTGGACATTGGGCTGGCACATAGCGTTTTCTTTATTTGTATTGGCTAATCCCATATCATTAATATTACCACCATTTTAACCCCTCTCCCTTCCCCAGGTGACCCAGCAGGGGCACGGGGCAAGCCAGGGAGGGGCTTTGGGCTGGGCGCGGGGGTGCGGGTGGACTCACCGCTGGGCCCTCTGCGCCTGGAGTATGCGTTCAATGACCAGAAGATCCCTCGCTTCCACTTTGGCATTGGCTACCGCAACTAGAGTAGAGTAGAGCAGCAGGCCTCATATATCAGGCTTTTTACCCTGATTTGACTGATTTTTTGTTTACCAAGCTGACTTGTCAGCCTTATTTCCTAAAACTCGAGCTCCCCATGGTATTTTTTCAAGTTATGTGTCCTTGAAATAGTTTGGTGAATGGGTGTGCGAAACCTATTTCGGTTGTGTGGCTTTGGCGAGATCAAGATTCTTACGTGAGCAAGTGAACATTTCGCGCACACCCAATTTGCGAATCCCACCAACCCAAAGCGATAAGTGTGTCACATGCAGGCCCTACGATACCGTCATCACCAGGATATACCGTAAGACAATGTTGAATTGAAGACAGGGGGTGTCTATTACCGTCATACCCCGGATATACCCCCATGGGGGGCAATAATAAAACAGGTTTTTTTTAGGGGGGTGGGCTTATAATCGGGTAACTTTATAAGCGCCGGCGTTTATAAAACGACATATATAGTTTATATATTTTTTAACACCAACCTGTAGTTCTCGTGCTTGCATTTTCAACTGAGCCGAAGTTACATGGGGTCGTCTGTGAAATTCTCGCGCGCAATTGGAGATACACCAAATCTGACAGCTCCTGACAGCTCCTGACAGCTTCTGACAGCTCCTAACAGCTCCTGCTGACTGGACCCGCATCCAGTGCAGGGTCCGAATTTGAAGGGAACCGAATCTGGAGACATCCGCTTGCTAAAGTAAAATTCGTTACAGGGTTTTCAACCCATTTCAAGAATTAAAGTTTACGTGCGCTTATAATAAAACAGGTTTTTTTCAGGGGGTGCGCTTATAATCTAGCAGCGGATATAAGCGCCATGCGCCAATTAAAAGCGCCAGGCGCTTATCCGAGGGTGGCGCTTATATCCGGGGTATGACGGTATCCGGGTGTCTCTTATAAACGGGGTAGCCTCATTATAAGACACCTATTTGTGTGCACGTCAGGCCCTCAGATTGGTTTGATTGAGGGTATGCTGATGGATCAGCATGCCCCGGCCAACAAGGTGTCCAAATTGTTGGGCTGAGAAGCCCTAGGATCTTTGTAGAGTTTAAGGACTGAGTAGGATTGTAATAGCGGAAGCGTTGAAATACAGAGTGATTGAACCACCTTGCACTAGTATGTTAGAGCAAAGTAAGTTGAATTAAACAAGCAAATACAAGGTTTATATAAGAGTACAAGGAATACGAATAGATTAAACCGTTTTACTGTTGCGATTCGATACAGTGCGACTCGGGCAACTGCTCAATGTCGAGTCAGTTGTGTGTCCTTGCTGTCGCGCTGTAATTGTCGAGTCAAAGGTCGCTGACCTTTGACTTTCCCGTAACCTCCAGACGGTTACCCTAACCTCCGAGGGTTGACTCGCGATGCTTCGATTCGGGCTGCTTCGCTAGTGTCCTGAGTTTCGACACGACAGAGGCGCTTAAGGCTCATTGTTCCCAACACTCCCCTTCGCTTCTGGAGTGTCGCTAATGGTGACGTGGCCTTGTCCAGTCAGCAGCATGCACTACTCGAACTTCTGTTTTCCGAGTTTCTTGGTCAAATAATCGGCTGCCATCTCGGACGTGGGACAGTAGGATAATTCGAGTTTCCCTTTCTCGATCTCGTCCTTCACGAAGAAGTATCGCAGAGCGATATGCTTCGTTCTGTTCGCGAATCCGCTTTTGTTGGCGATGCGAATTGCAGATTGGTTGTCGTAGAACAGGGTGAAGTTGGGTAACTCGGCTAACTTTGCTTCTTCCAGCAGCTCGCGAAGGTAGAGTCCTTTCTTGGTGGTTGAGCAGAGGGCGATATATTCTGCTTCAGCTGAAGAGAGAGCGATTAGTTCCTGCTTACTCGACTGCAAGGAGATAGGTCCGATAGGCTCGAGACGATAGACGTAGCCGGTGCGAGAGCGCCTGTTATCAGAATCGCCGGCATGGTCAGCATCGACATAACCGATTGGTTTCGTCGTCGTAGCTTCGCCCTTGTAGTAAGTTAGGCCGATCGTCGGTGTGCTCACGAAGTAGTGCAGTGCGCGATCGAGCTCCGCCATGTGCTCTGCTTCGGGTTTCTTGAGATAGGTGGCGAGTTGACTCGCGGAGTAGGATAGATCCAGACGACAGGTGACGGCTGCAAAGAGGAGGCAGCCCAGCTTCCTCTGGTAGTCTCGTATTCCGGCAGCCTTAAGTGGAGCGGAATTTCCTTTGCCGCTTCCTGTCGTGTGGCGGTATGGCGTGGCGATGGCGGTAGGTGTGAGCGAGAAGCGCTTGGCAATAGTGTCGGCGTATTTCTCGGCATTGAGGTAGATGGTGTTTTCTTCTTCGCGGATGTTGAGCCCGAGATACTGGGTGACGGTGGAGGAGACGGTGAGCGTAAGGTCCTTCTGCAGCTCCCCTTCGAACCAGGTGATGACGTCGTCGGTGGAGCCGAGGTAAAGCAGGTCGTCGACATAGACGATCAGTAAGATGTAGTCTGCGCTTTTGGTGAGACGATACATTCCTTGGTCGTGAGGCAGTTGTCGGAATCCGATGCGGGTGAGGCGGGTGTGTAGGTGCTGTTGCCACAGTCGCGGGGCTTGCTTGATTCCGTAGAGCGATTTCAGTAGTTGACAGACTTTGTTGGGGTTTCCGTGAGTGCCGTGTGGGAGTTCGACGAAGATTTCGGCGTCGACAGGTGCGTAGAGGAATGCGTTGGCGACATCGATCTGTCGCAGCTTCTTCTTCTTCATGGCGGCGACGGCGAGAAGAATGCAGAGAGAGGTATGTCGACTAACTGGGGCGAAGGTCTCAGTGAAGTCTCGTCCTTGTTCCTGGTCGAATCCACGCACGACCCAACGTGCTTTGAACTTCTCGATTGTGCCGTCAGCTTTCGTCTTGATGCGGAAGACCCATTTCTCGGTGAGAATGGTCTTGTTCCGTGCTACGCTTGCAGGAACGACCTTCCAGGTGTTGCGTTCCTCCAATGCCTTTAATTCCCTGTTCATGGCTTCACGCCATTTCTCCCTGTGTTCCCCCCCCAGAGCCTGCTCAACTGTCGCAGGCTCTTTAGGAAGAGTGTTGCCGGCGTTCCCGTGGACTGCAGTGACGAGACCAAGGATTTGCAGCCCAGTCTGTGAGTATCGAGGGAGTCCTGGATCCTGGGCGGCTCGGGCGGCTCGGGATAAGCTGCTTCGTCTCCCGCTTCTGGGTCGGGTATGAAATTTGGCCCTACCCTTTCTGCTTCGTTGGTGTTGACTGTCGCAGGTGTTACGTAACCGTTGTCGGCGAAGTGGTAGAAGACTTCGGCGTTGTTACTGTCGCAAGGATTGTCTTCATTCATAGGCACGTCGACGGAGCAGTACGGAAGAGGTCCGGCTTCCTCCGATGCGTTATCGACGTTCTGTTCATCCCAGTCTACTTCGTCCGCTGCTGAGGCGAAGGCTCGGTCACCGCGAAAGCCACCCGTGAGGTCCCGATTCTCGTGCAAGTTGGCGAGGTACGTCTGAAGGGTGAGTCGTTCGTAGAAAATCACATCACGTGCTGCTACTGTTTCTTTTGTGTGGACGTCGAAGATTCTCCACGCGTTGTAATTTTTCTCGATGCCGAGGTGTAGTCTGTCAGATGATTATATTACTGATGCATATATTTAGGCTGTAGTGGGGTAGCCCATAGGGGGTACAACCCAATTAGGGTTGGTACTTGTACTTGTTTCATTTCATAGTGCACTCATTCCTCGCCTCTATCTCAACATGGTATCGAGCAGGTTCCCTAGTGGGAACTGTTCCTAGGGCCCACCTACTATTCCGTCCTGCCCGGAGCGCGCTCTGCCCTAGCCCGAGTCGCGCTGGGCCTTTTTTTTCCTTTGGCGGCCCGATCGCGTCGAGCCGCCCGCGAATTTTTGACGCGCCACCTACGCGGCCTCGTCGCGCCGCCCCTAGACGGCCGCGCCGCGTCGCGCGTGCCGCCCTCCAGTCGCGCGCCGCCCCCCTGTGACCCTCACGACGCCGGCGCCGTCTCTGACGGCCCCGCGATCGCCTGCGACGGCCCCGCCGTCCCCTCTACCGGCCCCTCCGCTGCGCTTGACGGCCCCGCCGTCCCCTTTGCCGGCCCCGCCGCTGCGCTTGACGGCCCTGCCGTCCCCTCTGCCGGCCCCGCCGCTGCACCCGACGGCCCCGCTGTCCCCTCTGCCGGCCCCGCCGCTGCTTCAGACGGCCCCGCCGCTGCACCTGACGGCCCCGCCGTCCCCTCTAACGGCCCCGCCGCTGCACCTAACGGCCCCGCCGTCCCCTCTGACGGCCCCGCCACTGCACCTACCGGCCCCGCCGCTACCCCTGACGGCCCCGCTGCTGCATCTGCAGGCCCCGCCGTCTCACCTGCCGGCCCCGCTGCTGTACCTGACGGCCCCGCCGCTTCACCTACCGGCCCCGCCACTACCCCTAACGGCCCCGCAGCTGCATCTCCCGGCCCCGCCGCCCCAGCAACTGCGCCGCCCCAGCAGCCGAGCCGCCCCAGCAGCCGAGCCGCCCCAGCAATCGAGCCGCCCCAGCAGCCGAGCCGCCCCAGCAGCCGAGCCGCCCCAGCAGCTGAGCCGCCCGAGCCGCCCGAGCCGCCGAGCCGCCCGAGCCGCCCAGCAGCCGACCCGCCGTGCCGCCCGAGCCGCCCGAGCCGCCTGCACTACCCTGTCTGGTGAGCACTGAGATTTACTCTGCGCACTGCCCTTACCCCACTGCTGTCATGGCTACCCCCAGTGTCCTCACCTTCGACGCTGAGGGCAGAGCCATCGACTTTGACGTGTGGGTAGACGACCTGCTGCTTTTCCTACAGTGCGACAGAGCTGACGGCCTCTCTCTCTTTGATCTCACTTCTGGTGCCTCTCCCGCCCCTGCTGCTACTGAGGATGCCACTGTTCGCTCACATTGGGCCACACGCGATGCTGCTGCACGTCTTGCTATGCGTCGCCACCTCCCTCCCTCTGAGCGTGCACACTTTGGGTCGTACAAGAGTGCTCAGACCTTGTACGACGCCGTTAT